TTTGGCGGTTGAAATGCTGATAAAATCTACTGCTGAACACAAGTTTGGTGCGTTCAAAACAAGACTGTAAACTGAACTGCCTGTAGACGACGATGTGTACATGGACACATAGGAAAACATTAGGGAGAGTTCAGGGGCAGCTGAAAAAAACGCAGAAAAGCTCCTGACCGTCAGTTTATCAGCTGCAGAGTACATGAACCCTAATGCTGCACTTAGTGTGGTGCCCCTCTGTTCCCTTTTATCTTTTCCTTTATAGCTGGGGTACCCAGACCTTGGCCTCTGATGTGGCCTTGGACCTCGACCAGATCGCGTGTTGTCGACCCGCCAACCCAGAGCATCAGAGTGCATGGAGCTGGTTCCTGCAGGGGAGGAAGCAGGCGGCCGCAGAGTGAGCAGGAGCCTCATAAGCCGATGCTTCCCCTGTAGCACCAGCTCCTGTTTCGGATGGAGTGATACCACATGCACTTCGCCTGGGACCTTTCTAGCAGCCTTGGAGAGCAATGCCAGCAGAAACTGGAAGAGAAAAAAGTCAGGTTAGAAACCGCCTCCCACCCGCCATATAGTCCAATGACAGATGCAAGGCGGTTCTCTTGTTCTGGGAGGACGTCATATGACGTCTTTCCATTCTCACCGCGCACGTGCGGCTCCGGGAGCGCGCAGCACGGTGATCGGTGGTGCACTGTGTCCCTCGGACACAGCGGATCACCGATCAACGGAAAGAGCCGAAGATGTCGGCTTGGTCATGTGATCAGCTGTGTCCAATCACAGCTGATCACATGTAAACACGGAAATGCCGGTTATCGGCATTTCTCTCCTCACGAGCTGTCACGCTGACAGAGGAGAGGAGAGCCGGTAATCGGCATTCCGCGGAGGGGACATGTACACTGATCATCAGAGCACTGATGATCAGTGTGCCCTGATGATCAGTGTAGCCCCAGCAGTGCCACCTGTCAGTGTCCATCAGTGCCAGCTGTCAGTGCCCATCAATGCCACATATCAGTGCCCATCTGAGCTGCCTTTCAGTGTCACCCATCAGTGCCAGTCAGTGTCGCCTATCAGTGCCCGTCAGTGATGCCTGTCAATGCCCATCAGTGCCACATACCAGTGCCTCCTCATCAGTGCCCATCACTGCAGCCTATCAGCGCCCATCACTGCAGCCTCATTAGCGCACATCAGTGAAGGAGAAAAATCACTTATTTACAAAATTTTATAACAAAAACTGAAACTTTTTTTCTTCAAAATGTTCAGTGGTTTTTGGTTTGTGTAAGAAAAAATAAAAATCCCAGAGGTGATTAAATACCACCAAAATAAAGCTCTATCTGTCACAAAAAAATGATAAAAATTTCATATGGGTACATGTTGCATGACCGCGCAATTGTCATTCAAAGTGTGACAGCGCTGAAAGCTGTAAATTGGCCTGGGCAGGAAGGGGGGTAGAAGTGCCCTGTAGGCAGGAAGGGGGTAGAAGTGCCCTGTAGGCAGGAAGGGGGTATAAGTGCCCTGTAGGCAGGAAGGGGGTATAAGTGCTCTGTAGGCAGGAAGGGGGTATAAGTGCCCTGTAGGCAGGAAGGGGGTATAAGTGCCCTGTAGGCAGGAAGGGGGTAGAATGCCCTGTAAGGCAGGAAGGGGGTGCCCTGTAGGCAGGAAGGGGGTAGAAGTGCCCTGTAGGCAGGAAGGGGGTATAAGTGCCCTGTAGGCAGGAAAAGGGGTATAAGTGCCCTGTAGGCAGGAAAGGGGTATAAGTGCCCTGTAGGCAGGAAAGGGGTATAAGTGCCCTGTAGGCAGGAGGAAAGGGGTATAAGTGCCCTGTAGGCAGGAAAGGGGTATAAGTGCCCTGTAGGCAGGAAGGGGGTAGAAGTGCCCTGTAGGCAGGAAGGGGGTAGAAGTGCCCTGTAGGCAGGAAGGGGGTAGAAGTGCCCTGTAGGTGAGGGGGTTAAACATCACATCATTTTGCAATGGGGATATATCAACACTTATAAAAAAAAATGGGTATTAGTCTGCTTTCACTGATCCGCGCTGTGCAGGTGATCCAGAGCACATCAGTGTGAAAGCAGCTGTATAGGGAGCTCAGGACAGTAAGGGCTCATTTACATTTGCGGTTTGAGGAACGGTAAAACCCTATAGTTGAAGTGTGTTTTTACCACCCCCCAAAGCCAATGGTGTCACCGCCCCATGCTTCATGGGGTACCCATGTAGAATTCTACATCATTCTGTTTTACACTTGGACAGGAGGTGCGGCGGTCGTGGCATATACAGGAACCGTTCCTCTCCATTTTTATCCTGCAACCGCTGAAAGACGGCTTCTCCTCCTCTCCTTATAAACGGCCTCCCCGCACAAGCAGGGTGCGGGGAGGCCGTTTATAAACAGCCATCCGCCCCTGCACTGCTCCCGTCTGGCCGTTTTATATACAACGGCTGGACGGGAGGTGGTTAATCATTTCCGGAGGTCAGAAAAAAGTGAAAAAAAACGTGTCTGTCACTATAGTTCAGTACTGGTTTTTAAATGTAATTACCGGCTTTTTTTTCCCCTCTCTATAGCCCAGAGAATCAGCTGTCACTTTCCCCACAGCTAAAAGAAACAAAGTTTCCTTTAGTTTGTTTCCCCAGATAAAAGAAACTTTCCTTTAGCTCCAGGGAAAGTGACAGCTAATTCTATGAGCTATGGTGAAGAAAAAAAAAAGCCGGCAGTTGCATTTAAGAATCGGCACCGAAATACACTTCGTATTGTGAAAAACAATTCGTAGACCGAGGCATTATTTAAAATGGATTTTCATTTGTAAACCAAAAGTTAACCGAGGCGTTTGTAAAACCGAGGTACACCTGTAATGGCTTTCAAGCAGAAGCAATGTGCCGTCATCGAGTTCTCGACAAAGGAGGGGGTGCAGGCTGTCTAACATCCAAAGAAGGCTATGGAAATGTCTATGGATATGACACCATTCACAAGAGTCTTGTCATTAGTGACACTTGTCCATGGTGTCCTCTCCATAAACATTTCGTAGCTTTCTGTGGATGTCGGACAGCCTGCACCCCTCCTTCATCAAGAACTCCATTACTGCTTGTTGCTTCTGCTTGGAATCTATTCTTTGCCTGCAATGAAAAACAAGTAGAAGAGTTACAATAGAGCAGCATGTGAAATTTGAATGACTTATGTAAGTTATAGTGGAACTTTTATTCAGAAATTTAATTTAAATTTAATACATAAGGGGGATATGATCTCCATGTATAATACATAAGGGGGGATATGATCACCATGTATAATACATAAGGGGGGATTATGATCTCCATGATCTCCATGTATAATACATAAGGGGGGATATGATCACCATGTATAATAATATAAGGGGGGATATGACCTCCATGTATAATACATAAGGGGGGATATGATGTATCCATGTATATAATACATAAGGGGGGGGATATGATCACCATGTATACTACATAAGGGGGGATATGATCTCCATGTATAATACATAAGGGGGGATATGATCTCCATGTATAATACATAAGGGGGGATATGATCTCCATGTATAATACATAAGGGGGGATATGATGATCTCCATGTATAATAATACATAAGGGGGGGGATATGATCACCATGTATAATACATAAGGGGGGGGGATCTCCATGTATATGATCTCCATGTATAATACATAAGGGGGATATGATCTCCATGTATAATACATAAGGGGGGATATGATCTCCATGTATAATACATAAGGGGGATATGATCCCCATGTATAATACATAAGGGGGGATATGATCACCATGTATACATAAGGGGGGACATAATACATAAGGGGGGATATGATCTCAATGTATAATACATAAGGGGGGGGGGGATATATGATCTCCATGTATAATACATAAGGGGGATATGATCTCCATGTATAATACATAAGAGGGGGATATGATCACCATGTATAATACATAAGGGGGGGATATGATCTCCATGTATAATACATAAGGGGGGATATGATCTCCATGTATAATACATAAGGGGGGATATGATCTCCATGTATAATACATAAGGGGGGATATGATCTCCATGTATAATACATAAGGGGGGATATGATCTCCATGTATAATACATAAGGGGGGATATGATCTCCATGTATAATACATAAGGGGGGGATATGATCTCCATGTATAATACATAAGGGGGGGATATGATCTCCATGTATAATACATAAGGGGGGGGATATGATCTCCATGTATAATACATAAAGGGGGATATGATCTCCATGTATAATACATAAGGGGGGATATGATCTCCATGTATAATTACATCAGTGATTCATATAGTAGTGAACGGATTCTATGAATGCGGGTTCCGGGAGGGAAGAGCGGATATAGAGTGGCACTGTCGGCGTAGAGTTATTCACCCTGAGGTCATCACAGAGGACAAGGGGGCACGCTTTACGTCTGGAGGAAAATTTATTCTTCAAATATGGAAAGGTTTCTTCACAGTAAGATCTGTGAAAATGGGGAGTAGATTCCCTCAAGAGTTCTGTCCAGCTCAGTAGATTGCTTTATGTAAGTCCTGGATTCTTTCTTGGATACACAGAATATAACTGGATATAACATTTATAGGTGACGTTGATCCAGGGAATATCTGATTGCCTCTCAGGAAATCAGGAAGGATTTTTTTCCCCTGCAGGAGCAAATTGGATCAATTTTTGCTGGTTTTTTTTGCCTTCCTCAGGATCAACTGTGGGTATTGGATTATAACTTTTTTTTTTTTATGGTTGAACTAGATGGACTTTTATCTATTTCCAGCCAGACTAACTATGTATGTAGCACAGGGCCAATCGGCACTGTCCAGAGGGTCAGGGGTTAGGCAGCCTCATAGGGCAATCAGGGGAGAATGAAAACTCCTACAAGCTTTAACCAGTGCTCGGCTGTACACTGCTAAAAGTCACAAGACTGCTATAAACTGCTGATGAGGAAAGGTATTTAGCAGGGTCCAGGGAGAGCGGATATAGTGAATGTGGGGTCCGGGGAGAGCGGATATAGTGAGTGAATGTGGGGTCCGGGGAGAGCGGATATAGTGAATGCAGGGTCCGGGGAGAGCGGATATAGTGAATGCGGGGTCCGGGGAGAGCGGATAAAGGGAATGCGGGGTCCGGGGAGAGCGGATAAAGGGAATGCAGGGTCCAGGGAGAGCGGATAAAGGGAATGCAGGGTCCGGGGAGAGCGGATAAAGGGAATGCAGGGTTCGGGGAGAGGGGATATAGTGAATGCAGGGTCCGGGGAGACCGGGGATATAGTGAATGCAGGGTCCGGGGAGAGCGGAGAGCGGATATAGTGAATGCAGGGTCCGGGGAGAGCGGATATAGTGAATGCAGGGTCCGGGGAGGATATAGGATATAGTGGGTGCAGGGTCCGGGGAGAGCGGATATAGTGGGTGCAGGGTCCGGGGCAGGGTCCGGGGAGCGGATATAGTGAGTGCAGGGTCCGGGGACAGCGGATATAGTGAGTGCAGGGTCCGGGGAGAGCGGATATAGTGAATGCAGGGTCCTGGGTTTAGTAAGACTTTAAAGCTTTAGAGCGGAGACTCCGCTTATTTGCTTCATCCCCCCCTTCCACTGCCATATTTGGCACCTTTTGGGGGGGGGGGGGGGGGTGGATTCCTGGTTTTAACAGTTCGGCTCCCTCTTGCAGTCTCCTGGGAACTTTCACATGTCCCAGAAGACTGCCGAACCAATTAAGCCAAAAGCTGTCACAGCCTGGTGCCCACAGCTGAGATGCCGGCGCCGTGGAGGAGAGAAGAGGAGAAGGGACTGCACGGGTGAGAACATCTCTGGACCCCGGGACAGGTAAGTGTGTGTTTATTAAAAGTCAGCAGATACAGTTTTTGTAGCTGCTGACTTTTAATAAACACAAAAACAGCTGGAACTCTGCTTTTAAGTACTGTCCATGATAATTTTTTTTTTTTTTATTTGCACTAATATCCACATTTTCAGGACAAGCTTTCCCCTCTTCTTCAAGATGCAAGCAGTACTCCTTGATGAACGGAGTACATCCCATAAACGTGTTCTGAAAATCTGGATGTTAGCGCAAAAAAAAAAAAAGAATGGTATCATGGACAGTACTTTGTGTTTTTTTTTTTTCTTTTTTGTTGCAAGTACACCAATACAGCTACAGTCACCTCCAGCATTCGGTAATCAAAACTCTTTTATTGGATGTTTGATGGAAGTGAGGCCTGAGAACACTTTCTGAACACGAACATTGCTACAATGTAAACCATAAACACTTCTTAAGGTGTCCTGAGATCTTAATTAAAATTTTCATTTAAAAATAAAAAAAATAGTGCGTTCCCCGCGGACCGGTGAATGCTGTCAGCGTTATTAACCACCTTCCTGCAGGGTCGTCGGACGGGACCTCTGTACGAGGTCCCGATCATGTGATCACTGATTGGCCAATAAGTGATCACATGCAAAGTAGTAAGCAAGATGTCACTTGTGACATCATTGCTTACTACGTGTGAAATCTGTGAATGATCACAGAGGTCACATGGTACAAGGCTATTCACAAAAGCCTTGTACCATGTGACAAGCTGTGACCAATCACAGCTCAATCAGTACTTCTCAATAAGTGCAAGAATGCAGACAGAGAGAAAGAGAAATGATTGCTTTTACATCCTATATGGGTGTAAAAGCAATCAGTGTAAAAAAAAAAAAAAAAAAAAATCTTCATCACCCCCCACAAGTAGTAAAGTGTCACCATGGTGACACTGTACTACTAGGGTGACAGTATGTAAAAAAATAAAATAAAAAATGTAAAAAAAAAATGTTTAAAAATAATAATAATAATATAATATATATAATTATATTTATATATATATATATATAATATAATTATAATAATTTTTGCTTATAAACTAAATTTGGATTTTTTTTTTTTTTTACTAAAAAGATAACGGAATAAATTTTGGCCAAGATTTATGATGAAATATTATTTATTTGCAAAATTTTATAAAAAAAAAACACTTTTTTTCAAAATTTTTGGACATTTCATTTACATAGCAAAAAAAATACAAATCCCAGCGGTGAATAAATACCACCAAAATAAAGCTTTATCTGTCTCAAAACAATGGTAAAAAATTCATTTGGGTACAGTATTGCATGACCGCGCAATTGTCATTCAAAGTGTGATAGCGCTAAAAGCTGAAAATTGCCCTGGACATGAAGGGGGTAAAAGTGTCCGGTCTGGAAGTGGTTAATATCTACAGAGCGGTGCTTTGCTTTGCTCTCACCCCGCCTCTCTAATTGCCGATCACATCGACCTTTCTTGTATTTTGGGAGCTGGAAGACTAATCTACGCTCAGGCCTCCCCTGCCTACCTCCCGTTTTCTTTTTTTTTTTTTTTTTTTAATAAAGCCATTTCAGATTTCCTGTTTACGGCGAGCCTCTAAAAAAGAGAACAGATCCGTCACGGTGACAGCGGCTTTAATTAAAACCCCAAAATATACATTTACACTGGAATATATCAAGATGTCTGACGTCTATAATACTGCTTTTAATGGGGGAGCTGAATTTTCCATTACTTCCTTCAAGTTTAATGTCCTTTAAAGTTTGTCGGCAGGAGATGATCATTTACACGCTAATGTTCCCGAGTTTTATAAGCAAACTTTTTATGCCGGTTATTTTCTGATTGGTGTATTATGGGAGTGTAATGAAAGCTGAACTCCAGCCTTCAGTCTTGCACAGCGGCTCCTCTCCTGGACTGAAACGGCTTACTCTGGTTTCACTGCACACTGTGAGACTCTCACCATGTGCATTAGAAGCTGCAGCAAGTCACATAGAGCTCCGCCTCATTTTTTTTAGTTGAGGATGTCCAGTATCATCTTTCCTCCCCAGCCTGACTGTAATTGTTGGGCTCTTGCTCTATGCTACGTCCAGTGGGGTTCTGGCTCTCGGCATTTGTCCTGCGGTTTCTTGCGGTTGTGTTAATGGTGGTCTTTTGTTCCAGGTTATCACACATCTGTGTTTGGAGTGTACAGCGACTGTCTTCTTGACAACCTCCCAGGACTGAAGAACAATGGATGTACAGTGGATGTGATCCCGGCTCTGCCTCGGCTGCAGATCAGCACCTCCCTCCCCAGGTGAGCCTCAAATGCTCCATGTAATAGATTAGGGCTTGTTTACACCTGAAGTTGTGGGATGGGGTTGCGGTAAAGGCAAACCATTAGTCTTTACCACCCCCCAACTTCATCCCCTTAACCTCCCTGCAGTTATTCCTGAGTGTAGCTTGGGGTAAAGTTTCAGCACCTCAAGCGGTAACCCCGAGCTACACTCGGGAATACACTGCAGTGTTGCTCCAGGATCTCTTCTTCTCTTACCTTGTCCTGCGCTCCCGCGATGTCCCTCCTGCAGTATCCCCGGCCATGTCCTCCGGCCGATGCCGGAATCTGTCTTCTGGGTTCCGTTCCCTGCGTCATCGGGACTTACGGGGGAGGGAACTGGCGGGAAATTTAAAAATGTGAAAAACTGATATTCACTAAAATCACATAGTATAACATTCCTGTATCAAACCATTTCACATACATTTTGTCCCGAGTGCTTTGTCCGGCGCCCTGCCTGCATTTTTACTGTTCTTTCTGCCTGGAAACTGAGAAACGTCCATGGCGTCCAAAAAGTGTCCCTTTAGGTCAAAAGCGGTTTTAGACCGGCTAGAGAACAGCGATAGTAAATCAGAACCACTTGCAGAATTGAGTGATAATGATTCGTGGGGGAAATTCATCATCAGACACTGAAAACGATTTTGCGACTTTGCTCAGCGATGTGTGAACTTGGCGCTATATTTCAAATTTCAGTGTTTTTGGTTTGATTATATTATTGAATTACATTTTTTAATATATTATTTATGATTACTACTTATATTATAATTTATGATTCCGTGGTTCAACTTTTATCATACCCGGGATGTTTACTAGACTCTTGTTCGGACAGATTTCAGTGAGTTATTCCTAAGAATTATAGGCCTACAATAAAAAAAATACATATTTCCGTGCAAAAAAATGTACCGCTTTGAGCACAGAAATATGGACATAATCAGACCGCTAGGGAGGCTACAGAGGTAAATGCATTCTATGCATGAAGGTGAAAAACCTTCTGTGTGCAGCAGCTCCCCCAGCCCCCTCAATACTTACCTGAGCCTCATCATGATCCAGTGGGTCTTTACCTCCTCATTGGCTGAGAAAGCAAGCAGGAGCTATTGGCTCTCGCTGCTGTCAATCACAGCCAGTCAACCTATGAGGAGAGAGAGGGGGTGAGGCCAAGACGCTGCTCTGTGTGTGAAAAGACACACACAGCAGTGAGTGGCGCCATAGCAAGATGCTTGCTGTGCGGGTACACGACAGACAGGAGGAGCCAGGAGAGCCTGCGGTGGACCCGAGAAGAGGAGGACCCAGGCTGCTCTGTGCAAAACCATTACACAGAGCAGGTAAGTATAGACATGAAAGAGCAGGGCCCTCGATCCCCTCATGTTTTGCATTGTATTGGTATTGTTCTGTCACATGTTCTGTCCTCCTTTCTAATGTAAAGCGCTGAGCGAACTATTGGCGCTTTATAAATACTGTATAATAATAATAATAATAATAATTTTAACAAAAAAAAATGAACCTTTAAAATCTCTTGAAAGTGTTATTAAACCCACAACGGTAAAGTCAGTCTGTATATCTTGTTATACTCACTGTGGAACCTAAGGGGTTAATCCTCTGCATTGTTTTAAAAGGATGTCCGATCCTGTCTTCTCTGATCCTCTCCTTCTTCCATGTTCCCCATTTCATCTCCTGATAGAACAGAGCCTTGGGGACACTCATGCTCAGTTTGGTGTGTACTGCTAGTTTTTTCTTTTTCTTGGGAGAGTGCATGTGATGAGCACAGGGCCAATCAGCACTGTCCAGGCAGAGGATCTGGGGTTATGCAGCCTCATAGGACAATCAGAGGAGAATGACAACTCCTACAAGCTTTAACCAATGCTCTGCTGGACACTGATAGAAGTCACAAGACTGCTCTAACTGCTGATGAGAAATGGTATTTAGCAGTTTATATTTACTAAAATAATTGCATTTCCATGTTGTGTGTACTGTGGGAGACCAGATATAGTGAATGCAGGGTCCGGGGAGACCAAATATAGTGAATGCAGGGTCTGGTGAGAGTGGATATAGTGAATTCAGGGTATGGGGGGACCGGATATAGTGAACGCAGGGTCCGGGGAGACCAGATATAGTGAATGCGGGGTCCGGGGAGACCAGATATAGTGAATTCAGGGTATGGTGAGATCGGATATAGTGAATTCAGGGTCCGGGGTGGACCGGATATAGTGAATGCAGGGTCCGGGGAGACCGGATATAGTGAATGCAGGGTCCGGGGAGACCGGATATAGTGAATGCAGGGTCCGGGGAGACCAGATATAGTGAATGCAGGGTCCCAGGAGACCGGATATAGTGAATGCAGGATCCCAGGTTTAGTAACACTTTAATGCGAAACCTCAGT